GCCACTTTGGCACTGCATCGTTCGATGCAACCATGGGCTTCTCGGGGGAGGGGCCCTCCGGGGCCCCCATGGTCCTCTTTTCAGCTAACGTCGGATCCATTCAAACCAACCAGGATTGGCAATCCTGTGCCTTTTCGAACATTGGTTTGGATGTTGTCTTTGGTGAGCTCCTGGTGAGCTCCTCCCTGGACTTATCCAGAACAGTGGTAGATCACATACCCCGTGCGGGGGAGTTGCTCTTGCGGGTCCCAAGGGACGCATCTGGCCCTTCTCTTTCGAGGAAGATATTACCGGTCTTTACCGCCGTGTCTTTTCCACCAAAAGGGCTGTTCTCTCCTGGGTTCAGATTACCCCCAATAGGTAGGCCTTGATTTGCTCCCTCTATGCTGTCACAGGGGCAACACAATCCCCGGACATTCACCAGACTAACGAGTCTTTGTTGACTGACTTGTTTGAGGTGTGTGCTCAGTTCGGCAACATTCCGGTTATCATCGCCGGGGACTCTCAAGACAACCCCTCCACATATCAGTCTGTCGCACATGCTACCACCTTTTTGGGTTGGCAAGATCCGCTCAACCAAGTTGATCATGATGGGGCCATCCTGCGACCGTTGACTTACTCGAGAGATAGTAATTTTAGTGGTGTAGGAGAGGGGTGCTCCTCCATCGATGGAGTTCTCCTTAACCAGCATGCCTCTGCGGCACTTCTCGAATGTTCGGTTGTTGAATCGCTTGGGAAACAACACCGGCCCATCAAATGTGTGTTTGAATGGCAAACCCTCTCGCAAGAGGCTACATTCACTACAAATTCGCACCTTTTGATTTGTCGGGTATTCCCCAGGTTGGTGCTCATCACGGTCATCCCCCTGACAATGCGAATCTTCAGTGGGACCAACATTGGCAGTCCCAATTCGATAGCTCTAATGATCCTGATGTCCGATGGAAAGTAGTCAACCAATTTTGCATCAAGCAGCTGCTTCACCAGAGTGCCACTTGGGGGGCTGGCCCACAACAACGTGCGAGTCCTCCTCGCTTCATAGCCAAAACCATTTGTCCCGCACAACACCCCAACCATTGTGCGGCCACTCGACATAGTACGGCTTTGTTCAAGCTCCACAATCGCTTGCAAGAACTGTGGGTCCGCCACTCTAGGGGCTCCAGATCGGAGCAAGATTGGTTCATCTTTGTTACCGCATTTAATCGGATTACCAAGAGCCTGATCGCCCTCCATGCCGACATTGCCTGGACTGACGTTCACTCGATTTCGCTTGTTTCGATTCAGCTGCCCTCAACTGGGTGCGGCATGCTATTGACACACATGCCCAGGCCATCAAGAAAGAGCGCATCACTAGGTGGAAACGTAAACTGCAGCACTCAGCTTCCAAGGACTGTCATCATGTTTTCCATCACCCTCGTAATAGACTGCAGGATGAACCCCCCAACCTTGTCCAGGATTCGGATGGCAACATTCTCTTTCAGCCGGACAAGGCGATGGAAAGATTGAATCAGCAGTGGGACACTGTATATGCTGCTAACACCCTCAGTGAGCATCCCCTCAAGATGTTGGAAACCGTGTGGCCATACATTTGCCATAAGACCCAAGAAGCACAACTCCCGCCTATAGACGCCTCCGCACGGAGTAATCCAAACGCGGAAGAAGCTTGCTGCTCCCGGCCTAGATGGCTGGAGGACTTGCGAGTTGCAAGCTCTACCAGTCATTGCCTTCATCCCCATTGCTGCTTTCTTCCAATGGGCCGAGGATACTTATGGGGACTCGTTACCATCCATGCTAACTTGTACCAAGCAAATTATCCTCCACAAGCCCGGCCCGGCTGACGCCATGAACAAGCGTCTTATCACGATTTTGCCTGCGCTCATTCTGTCCTACACGGGCGCACGCTATGAGCAGCTTCAAACCTGGCAGCAGCAGACCACGCCGGAAGGCATCATCGGTGGGATCCGAGGCAGGACCATGCAGCTCCTTCACACGGCTCTTCGCTTGGACATCGACGATGCCAAACTTCGTAAACAGGGATTAATAGGCATTAAATTAGACAAGGCCAAATGTTTTGACCGCCTGATTCCCAGTCACACTAGTGCCCTGTTTCTTGCCTTTGGTATCCCTAAGGGCGTAGTTAACATCTTCTCCAAGCTATACAAAGGTCTGAGCAGACACATGTGCTATAAAGGATGGATGAACCCCATTCCCACGACTGCCCCAAACGGAGTTGCACAAGGGTGTTCTTTGTCTTTGATCGCAGTCAACGTGCACACTAAAGTTTGGTGTCATTTGCTCGAGCATTTGCCAGATATTGCCCTCCGAGCATACATCGATGACGCATATCTTTGGTGCCGGGTGCAGTCTGTCGCCGATTTAACCCAAGCGATCCAGGTCACTCGGCTATGGGACGAGCTCAACGGTCAAAAACTCAACGACTCCAAATCTGTCATTTGGGGGACCACGGCTAAGGCTCGGAAACTCATTTCCCAGGCATTCCCTGGAATGAAACTCTCCCACACGGTAGACACACTTGGAGTCCGGGTATACACCACCGAAAAGGATGACTTTGGTTTTACGGACACATCAGTTGATAAGGTGTCCGTTCGTTTCTGATTGGGGCTAAAGCCATCCCAATGATCACAGATGGTGCCTACATCTCGAAGACCCCCCAAAGTGCTCTGCGAAAGATTGAATCCACTGTCGTTCGGTCGCTGTGGGGCCATCGTCCGATCGCTCGGTCCAAGTGGCTTGTACAGTTATTTCATGGTCAACCTCACAGGAATAATCCCAAATTGGCCTTGGCATATAACTCGATCCTTGACCTATTTAGGTTTTGCTTTGACTGCCCACATGTTGTGCCACGGCTGAAGCAACTTTGGCCCAACCGACATATGCTGAACCATTCATTGGTCAAGACTTATGAGGAGTCGTGTGCCATCCTTGGCCTTGAGGTCACGGATGATCTAAGCATTCGTTTGGCGGAATCGCCAGCCTCTCTCGGCTGTACTTCTCCGCGTGACATTGCCACTGTACTGCAACGCATGGCAAGGCAGACCATGTACGTAGCGGCCAAGACTTCTAAGAGGAAAGACTTTCTTCAACCCAAAGGGCTGATTGATTCCCATGCTTCCACGAGTTTTCTTCGTAAACCGACTTTTGAAATCACGGGTTTCCCTACGACCTGAATCCCTCATTGTGGGGTGTACTCTGACAAAAGATCGATTGTTTGCCGCGGGCTGGTCCACCACCAGCTCATGTCGGTTCTGCAATCAGGCGAAGGAGACAATGGATCACTTGGTCCATCACTGCAAGTCCTTTCACGAAATTTTGGGTCCACCTGTTCTTGATGAACTCGGGGAAAACTTTGACCTCCTTGGCATTGTGGAACACCCCCGCAGGATCTCCATGTTTCGTTTGCAACATTCTCAGGCCGCAGATACCCGGGTTGTTGATTTCGATCCGTCCCTCCCGCCCGTTGAGGTATTGTTCGGTGCTCTTTCAGCAGAATTTTTGGCTGACCACGGCCACGTTCGCCGTAATTAGCAAACAGGGACGGACCTTGTTCTGTGACCGAGTTCGACATTGGAACCTCTCCAGCTTTGTCGCCGAATTTTGGGCTATTTGGATAGCCTTCTCGCAGTCAACGGGACCTATCCAAGTCTATAGCGATTGCAAGGCTGTTGTTCGATGCTTCACTTCACTTGTTCAAACAGGGTGCATCCACCCTCACTGGCGCTGTCAGGAATGGTGGCGAACTTTGCGACGGGTTCTTCTTTCTCGCAAATGCGTCCACTCACAGCCGCTGGCTGCCACATGGATCTCCGCCCATAAGTTTGAAGGGAAAGAGATCTGGCAAATTCATCCTCAAGAAGCCCGTGAAGCAGGCACAACTCTTGAACACATCCTTCGCAATCGACAAGCCGACCAGGCTGCCAAGCAGTTGGCCAACCAAATTGCACCCATTTTTCCGGCTGCACACCAGGCATTTCAGCGTGCCACGCTTCGCCATCAGACTTGGCCGGTGCGACTTCATTGTTTGTTGTCCACCAAGGACGATATAGCCGACACGCAATCCCTGCCTCAAGAGGCCTTTACATTGGATGTGGCAAGAACGACAATTTTCCCAAATGGCCCTGGAAAGCATCGCGAAGCGATTTCTCCTGGCGGCCCAAAGTTCCTGAAAACATTGAACCTCCTGCCAAGTGGAACTACACAACCAGCGATTGGCGAGTGATCTGTCGATTTGCACAACAGTTGAGGTGGCGACCACAGGAAGACACCGCCGTAGCTTTTTGCGAACTTGCGGTACTCTTTCATCACCAAGGATTTAAAATCCACGGTGATTATGAGGTCTTGACGATGCACTCAGTAGCCTGTATGATTCGCCAGGCTTTTCGCATGTTGCTCAAGGATGACAGGGTCCAACTCTGCCCAGGCCAGTTTTCGGCCACTTTTGTTAAGTCTGAGGGCAGGACCCTCTGTCAGAGCGCAGTTGTACAGGCGATTCCCTTTTTTGATGAGGCTGCCCTTTTTACGTTGGCACAAGTTTTACGCTCAGGACCTGGACGCACTATCCAGTCCTGGCGTGTTCCCTTTTTGAAGAACTTGGCTCCGTCTTCCCTTATCACTGCATGAGGGGTCCTGTGTATGGCACGACCTGAGAGTCGACCATACCGTCGTCGCAGACCGACCGACGCGTGAGGTATATATATATATACATATTATATATATTTACATAGGAATGCTTTTGCAAGTCACAGTGCAAAAACACCCTTATGCTTTATTCTTATCTTTGGTATTTGCCATTTGTCACCATGCAGCGACTGACCAATGTCTATGGTGCGACTGACCGAAAAACGTGCCAATTCGGCGATATTGAAGAGGTAAAACCATTCTTGAGACGGGGGGTTGGAAATCAGATGAAATCAGCCTTCTACATTCTATGGGCTGCGCTGCGGATACAATGTGGATCCGTGCCGCGGGGTCACTAGTGCGCCAAGGTCACCTGTTCGCCGCGGGTGCTGCACGTGCTCCGCGCGGCGTCCCACGTGCAGCACGTGGGGCTTCAACCGCTTCAGCCCTTCCGCTACGTGGACGTGGGCGCGGCGCTGGGGGACCGGCATTAGATGTTTTGTTTTTTTTGCGTTTTGATGTGGATGCTTCTGGATGATCAGAAGAGGCCACAGACATTCGCTCAGCAGATTCCAGCACCCTCCAACAGGTCTCCTCTGGCTTTCGCAGACTTAAAAGTGGCAGGTGGTGGTGACCTGTTGGAGGGTGCCAATATCTTCATGAATTTGACTTGGACTTACCTAAGTAAACCTTTGCTGATTGGCCTCCAACATCGTTTCAACATATGCTTCTTGTTTGTTCGTTTTGCTAGTTTGCAGGAAACAATGTCTTGTCCTCTTCTTTCTTTGAATGACATTGACCAGATTGAAAGCAACATACTGAAGTTTATTATCGGCCATAGTTCCTGAGGTCTCAGAGAGTGTGTTTTCGTTGCATGTTGTATCAGGGGCTTTATGGACAAATCTGAAACACCAAACCTTGGAGAGGAGATGAGAGGAGGCATAGGGTGTGTCCCCGTCCACCAGCATAGGGTAGCGCAAGCATCACTGGGATATACCGAGAGGCAGACTAAGAGAGGCGCTCCGCAGCGCAGATCGGGTTCGCTCCAACGAGTGTCGCAGAGAACGATTCGAAAGCCAGAAGCCCTGTGAGCATTTTGGTTTTCACTTTCACAAGGCCTTCATGGGTCGAACCCATCTCCTACAGTCACTAGTTTTTCTTAACATCTCTCACCTCTCCCTCTCGCTCTGTTTTAGTCTTGCGTTTCATGCGTCCGTTTGGAGCTGGCGGTACTCAACGACCTTCATTTTTGGGTCAACGACCTTCCTCTCCATATTCTCAATGGTTTTTGTGACTTTCTCAAAAAAGCTTTCTCCTTCTTGTTATCTCAGGACTGAGATGTAAAGGAGAATGGCCATGCAAGAAGCCCAAGAACTAAACTAAGAGGAAAGCCAGTTGAGAGCAGGACTATTTTAAAACAGCTACGATATAACTAGAGCAGCTTCCAGACCAAGAGAAACGCTGTGAGGACATTAGGAAGAACTTGTGAGCAAAAGAACCATGATTAAAGGCAACCACAACTAGAAGCAACAAACACGAAAGGGAAGTGCAAAATAGTTGTACACAAGAACTAATGAAATATATCCGACAAAAGTTGCTGTCTGCTTCCTTTCCTTCATGCCACACCTGTATCAGTATCTCCTCCTCCAAAACTGTGTATCTTAAAATAGCGCATCAAGCTTGAACAAAAATGGATGGACCATTGCCATCTATTTGCTGAGTGAAAAATCGGAGCTTTGCGTTTTTTCAAGTGTCATGGGATGTGTGACATGTCATGAAGAAGTTCACACTCTGTGAGTGACCTTGGGAGGGATGAAGAGAGTTTGGACCAAGTCAGTCTTGTGCAGAAAAGCAGGACTGCATGATCATGGCCTCTGATCTCCTCCCAGTCCTCGACGGCCTCTCCTACGAAGCGCTGCCCCTGCACGCGCGCCTCGCCCGCGCCACCCTCCGCTTGGCGCAGACGCAGCGCCCGACGCAGCGCCTGCGTCTCCGACCGCTGGCGCTGGGACGAGGGGACGTTAAGGTAGGGCGCCGGCCACCACGCCGTGTTTGGAGCACGCTTTACTTTTTTTTTCAGGAAGAAATTGTTTATGGTGTGTGCTTGTCCCTCTTGTTCAGGGGTATTGTGACAGGACTTTGAATTTTGGGACACTGCCTTTCATTTTGATGCTTTGGCACTTCTTTGTGCTCGGGTACCTGTCCGTTAACTCTATACTTTGGCACAAGCGACATTGAATGATAACATCTCATAGCAAATCCTTCTTGACTTGACTGTCATTTGAACTGAAGCATTCGTTCACAGTTCTTGACATGTTTATCATCAAGACACTCTATCAAGGTCTTCTCATTCTTCCCAACTGAAAAAGTCATAGAGACATCTCCATGGGCACCTCGTTGCAGGAGATTTCAGGCCAGGTCTTCCATGGTGGCTTTGGCCAGGCTGGGCTGCTGGGCTTGGTCGGATCTCCTCGTGGGATCGCTGAGGGAAGCAGCTTGCTTTTGGTGACCGGCACTCACAAAAGACTTTAAAAAAAGACTTTAAGGAACCTAATAGCAATGGCCTCCAACCTAAGACAGCAATGGCCTCCAACCTAGTAGCCATGCAAAAAGAAAGCAGTTGTTTTGAGTGACCCGAACCCCGGAAGTCTCGTGTTTAACGAACCTGCTCGGGACTAAAGTGCCCCGAATGGACGGAGCGAACTGCGCGGTTGGTCCGTCCAGGGCCGACGTTCTTCAGCCGTTTGGGTTGGTCCGACGTGGGTGATGGACTGGCGGATGGATGGACTGACTGTGGGTTTTGGGTTTGAAACTCTTAGGACACATGTCACGCAGCGCCCAAAACCAAGAACCAGCCGAGATTTCACGGTTTCCGGTGGTTCAGCTTTTTTCCTTTTTCTCCACGCGGTTTCAGGCTTTTGGGGACTCCAGGGCGCGATTGCCCTCCTTCAGGCACACTTCAGTGTGAGAAAAGCAGCGGTCCGGCCAACTGCCGATTTCGACCCACAAAGCTCTCCCACAAACTCATCCCAAAGCTCTTGATCTACTGGACTTCTCAAGGTATGGAGGCCGGCCCGGTCCCTCCAGTTTGTTCACCTGATCGTTCGTGGGGGCGCGAACGCGTCACCGCGTGGACTGGCGGTCTGGTTTCGCGGGGTCTGAAGGGGGCGGGCCGTGGCCGGTCCGCTGCGGTGCACATGGTGCACTTAAGGATTTGGCACTACAACATCAGGGCAACCGAACTCTGTTTCATGGTTCCAACGGGAAAGGTTGCGGGTTTGGGGGCCTGTGGTGAAGGACACCCCGAAACGGTCCGCCAGGGCGTGCCGGGGGAGGTGCTGCGGATCCGCAGCTCGACGCTGGTGGCTTGGGCTGTGTCTGGAGGGACGTGGGAAGCCCGGACTGTGTGTTTTCAGAGATTGGGGAAGGAGTCATGGTGGTGTGGCTCGTCCCATCCAGCGGCCGTGGATGTGACGTTCGGGCACCCCGGTTCCCTGGAAGGAGGTTGTACCAGGAGTCACAAAGGGGTGCCTATTGCAGGATGGGGGTGCCCATTATCCACTCACTTAGGGACTAAATAGCATCCTTTTGTGACTCTTGGTAGGTCCATATGTTTCGAGCATTTGAAAGACCCTTTTTGGGGGGTACGGATCCCAAACAAAGACCAAGCGCCCCGAGGTAGCAAACCGACCAACCGGTGTCCAAACGCTGGAGATCCCCAGTCGGGACCGATGGGTCGTTCGCTTCATCCAAACGCGCTTCGTTCGTTCCGCACCAGACCTGCGTGGCAGAACTCCAACAGCTTCCGGTCGCCGATGGACCTCCCCCACACACGACTGACAGGTCTCCAGCTGCGGAAGCAAGGGACCGATGGACAACCCCCACACTGCTTCTCCTCCAACTGGTTTTTTGGGGACACTCTGAATCACCTCTGCTGGGAGGCCCTTGAGACACCCAGACTGCGCCGTGCGGCTTTCCTTTTAGGGTGCCGGCACCGCCGCAAGCGGCGCCCACCTGAGGACGCCCACCATCGCTCCGCGGGCTGCTTCCTCGAAAGCGGTGGGAGCGGTCGAGACGTCGTGGAGCCCAGGAGTCGGGAAGAAAGACGAGGACATCCCCTGGACTTCGCCCCACGCGCGACGAAAAGAAAGAGACAGACCATGGTTTTGTAGTGTAAAATCCTTATGGTGGTTGGAAGCCCAGGGACAAGAAGCTAGTAGTAACAGGTGCCTTACTAGTAGTAACAAGAAGCTATTAGAATTAGTTTCAAGGGCAAAGGGCCTGGTTTGGTCGCATCACATCTGTGGAATCGGAGTCTCAAAAAGCACCCCAGCGAGTGGAAAGCTCCAGCGCAATGCTTCTTGTATTGTTTCAATCTTTTTTCTGGGGTACGTAGCAAACCTCCCACATATGTGGCGTTGGAGGCCATCGCTAGTAGGTCGGAGGCCATCGCTAGTAGATTGGAGGCTGGTGCGGGAGTGTTGACAGTCCGCAAGTTGGTGTGGCGAGCCGATCCAGCTGCAAGCCCTCTGTGTTCGTCCAGGCAACCCTCCAGTTTAACGGTCAAAAACCGCCGAAGGTTTCAGGCAACTCCTGAGTTCCGACTGATCATGCTGAGCATGAGAGGCGGGTCATCTGTCTTCTTTCGCTTGCAGATCGGTCTGGGAACCACCTCCAAGGAATGGGTTCGATCGACCTCCTCACCGTGTTCGTGAACCACGGAGAGATTCTGGGCAGCATCGCACAGATGCGGCTCCATCTGGATGACTTTTCGATAGCGCAGGTGCTCCAGAATTCTAGACCTAGAAGAGTTGGATTTTTGACAGGAAGAATCACGACAGAATCACTAAAACATGACCAGGTGCTGAAGAGGGGGATTTGTGTTTCAACACAATGACAGGCAAGACGGTCACAGTATCAACTGTGTGTTACTGCGAAAACTTCCAAGAGGAACCACTTCCAAGTAATCGTGATTTCGAGTCCAAGACTATTAGGTTGGAGGCCATCGCCATCGCTGGTAGGTCGTTTTCTCACTAGACTACCAGACACCACCTGTCCGGGCAGCCCGGACGGGTGGTTTGGTTGGACTCCCGGACCGTGGTATGTTTCCATCCAAGAACCACCCAAACTGGATGGTGCTGGTAGAGCATTGAGCATTGGTGTTTGATAGTTGTTGATCCACCTCTCCTCACTGTGAAGTGAGCCCGTTGATCAGCATCGAGGAAGAGCGCGGGGTAGCGAGCCCGTGGATCTAGGATGAATTAGCCCATACTCTTCTCACCGTTGAGCAGTTGTCCAAGCCTCAAGCTGTTGCTGTTTCCACGTCCATTAGGCTTTGTAGAGAGCAGGATGTATGGTTTTTTGGGTCTTCAGCGGGACCCCCGACAGGTCGTCCGACCCAACCCGACTCGCGGCTTCCGATGTTCGCGCAGCTTGTGATGCGATGAGGAATGCGGTGCTCGATGGCGCCAAGAGCCTTTTGGGTGGCCTCCATGTAGGCTGTGCAACTCGCCAGATGGGGCGGACAGTGGACGGGTGGACTCCGTGAGCTCCGTTTTGTTTTCGAGCCGTGGATTTCCCGGTCGAATCAAAAGAATACGTAAAATGGAATGGGCCTGGGATCTGGCGGATCAATGCGGAAGTTGGTGATTTGTCTCTTTTCCCCCTTTCCTACCGGGTGAATCCATTGCTTGTTCCAGCTGAATCTGGGTGATCAGGTGATTTCCCCGAAACGAGGTCGGAGCCGTGATCGGTCAAGAAAGGCGAGCCGGCGAGCCGGTCGGTTCCGATCCACAGCGAGCGGTGACAGGTTTTGGTGTGCACCTATGGCTTTGCCAACTACACAAGAGATTCTTGGATGAAAGGATCTGGCAAGACAAGTTGCCAGGCCAAGGGCCTGCCTGTTCTTGTCTTGCCCTGACATGGAGATTTGCTCGAACTCTTTGCTTAGAGATCTTAGAGCTGGACATTTGTAGCTCTTGAAGAATAGAATCCATTCAAATGAACATCGGTCAACAGCTACCCATAGCTCCCTTGGGTTGACATGTTTTAGCTGTTTTTGCATGTTTTACCTTACAAGGGGCTCACAATTTTGCAGCGACAGCCATACTCATTTGTTTCCACACCCTTCCATTTTTCCCAGGAAAGCATGACATTCCATCTGTACATGACATTGCCCACTGATGCGCGTGCGGCAGTGACGTCTCCAGGTGAAATCGTGCTTTTGCGACGTCAGACATCTGGTTTGCTCGCTCTTGAGAGTGAGATGAAGAGACTGAGAGTCAGAGACTGAAGACTGAAATGAGTCTCGACTCTTTAGCGTACAAAATCTTCGGGAACTTCCAAGAGGCACTTCCCAAGAGGCACGAGGCACTTCCCATCAGCAACATTTTTGACTGCTCAAGACCCGAACCTTGCCTTCTGCATGGTGCTCAGGATGCCATGGATCGCTTGCATTTGCTGGGCTATGCGGCGGCCGGGATGGTCTGGAATGACGAGGGGCTGGGCTTTGAATGGGTCAAGGCCTGCCCAGCCACTTGGGTTTTGAAGGGGTGCAGTCGGGTGGAGGTCATTCCTCTAGCTGCTGTCGGCTGTCGTGATCCGACCCGACGGGCTGGCCGCTGAAGCGGGGTTGTGGTGAAATCGGTGGCGTGGAAAACGACGGTTCCTGCAGAGGTCTGTCAGTGGATTTCACGACGTCAAAGCCTTCCCCCAAGGCCTGGCATCTTTGACTGACCAGTGTTTGGTGAAGTGTTCTCTGATAGGATCCATGCCGCGCCGAGTACATGACCATGACATTCTCTCCAAATGCCCGGGTTTATCCAGGTCAAACCAATCAGCCCTGAGGGTGTTACTTGGTAGTTCTGCATATGCAATGCTTTGAAGGCTGTGGCTGTAGCCAGGCTCTTCCGAAAAATCCTCGCGAGGTGGGACCCATCGATGAAGGGATTGGGAAAAATGGACGACGTGCAACACGTGGACGTGGGACAGGCGGACGATTAAACATGTTGTGAAGAAAGGGCCACAGAGCTTATTGGTACTGAGGCGCCTTATGGGGGTACTTGTTGCGACTCGCCATTCTTCGCATGGTGGGCGGAAAAAGAACGCTGCTTGGGGTTAGGACGTGCGCCCGCGAGTCAGACTGTGAGGACCCTTGGACCCAGGCCGCGGGTCTTTTTCCTCATCCAAGTCGGTGAAGGGAGTTGGTTGTCTGACCAGCGCCTTCCAGTTTCCTAATATATTACAATAAAAGTATAGTATCACATTGCACATTGATGAACATTGTAACAATTTACTTAGTTAAGTACACATGAAATTCACTTCACAGCTTAGATCATTATAAGATCAATCTAATAATCAAAATCTGGCAAACACGTGGGATGAGTCGACGGGCTGTGATCTCTCTGGGTTGATCCCCTTTCGCCGTGGAGAGCGCAGTACCGCGCTCTGGCAGAAAGCGCCAGGGATCATCGAACATTATGTTATGATGTTCTCTTGGTTTTGGTTCACTTTTGATACATAGATGAATCATCAAGTACAACTCTTTTGTGGATAAATGGATTTAGTATATCATCTAATCTTGAGGTTGCTTGGTGTTCTTCGGGACCCGCTCCGTTTCAGGACCTGCCGCAGACCCCTGCGACGCGGGCACCACTCGCTCGGGCGCCCGGATCTTTTCAGCGAGTGACGGGAGGGGTGGAGGCCAGGTTGAGCAGGTGATTCTTGGGGCGGCTTGAAGTCGGTTCTGGGCAACACCGGTTCATGTACTTCCAAACACCCTTTCTACCCACCACCAGGAGGTTCCAGTGGAATCGCCGCTTCTCGGGAGCCAAAAGACTGGGAGGGGAGGCATCTTCCAGCCTTTGGTCCTCTTCCAGCGAAGGATGTTTTCCCTTCAGCCTCTTCGAGCCTCTTCCAGCCCTTCGCTTGTTCATGCGATTGAAAACCTGGACAGGGTTTTTCGGTGCCTCCACCGTCCATTGGTCTCACCTGTCTCAGTCCGCCTCCATCCGCCTTTGAACCACCTCCGAAATCGACCAGACCTGGTCCAGAGGTGAACATCTCAGACCTGAACTGGGAAAAGTCACATAAACCATGTGGCTGAGCCGACCCCCCTTGTAAAGGACACTTGGTCTTCCAGGGGCCTACGTTCCACTTCCATGATTGTTTCAGGGAGTGTATATACCCTAGACTTCCGTTACAACATGCTTTCACCTGGTTTTGTAGTGCCACATCCGCTCGGTGAGACAGCTCGGTGGTGGATGACCCGCCTGTGGACCGGGTTTCAGCCGGGTTTCGACCTTCAGGTCGGACCGTGCTGCACAGAGGTACGACGCTGCCCTCCTATGCCGACGAGTGGCGGAGCTCGGCGCTCCATGCAGTGGCTGGGATGGTACGACGAGATGCGTTCCGCCGCCCACGCCCAATGTGGTGGAGTCAAACAGGGAAACCTGACCCGGTAAAACCGGGTTCCTTTTCCTCATTGAGTAGTGTTATTGTTTGATCAACTTCAGTAAAATGAGGCGGAACATGGTTGAACTGCCTGATTAACATCGAAAAAACACCACCAGTCAACTGCTTATACAACCGGTTGAACTGACCTGCAGGGATTGTTTTAAAGGTGGACGTATCGCTATCTCCTAGGCACCCTCCAGCTACAGCCGACAGCGACAGCGTCGCCCGCACGGGGCCTCGGGTTCCAGAGCGTCGGAGCGAGCGACCAGTCAGCACCACGAGTCGACCCATCGAACGGACGCCCGCTTTGGCGGCATCCGGATCTGGAGATGATTCCTTTGGTTTTGGCACCATGAGGTGGAACTCCTAAGGTTTGCACCTGGCGCCATCTCCACGTAAGTTCCCCTCCTTCTTTTTGAGGTCGAGCTCTGTGGCACGTTTGGAGCACGTCACCGTGGAGGAGCTTCACCACGGCGGCGGCGGCACTCGGACCTCCGGTTCGGCCCTGGGAGGGCTGGGCGGACGGGCGAGGGGGACTGGCCAGTCAGCCATCCCAGCAGTACAGCCGTGCCCAGCCGGCCAAAGCCATTGTTGGTGCAGAAGTCTTTTTGGGGTGGTGCCCGGGGGCATTCAAGATCATGTTCGTGACAGGCCCTGAATGGACCGTGTTTCGACTTGGAACGTGTTTCGAAGTCAACACCTCGCCATGAAAACCACAGGAGGTTTCGCATCCCTCTTTATCGAGGACTCGGTGCATGTTTCACAGGGCCCACCTGGGGCACGGTGCGGCAGGAGGCCGGGGAGAAGAAGGTGGCCTTGGGTTTTGGCGATGCGGAGGTGGAGGTGGCGCTGGCGCTGGACGCCGCAAACCGCGCGATGAGTCGATCCGGCTGTGTAGCGAAACGAAGAGTCTTCGGGCCTCGCACTGGGTTCGATGTTCTCCCCATTGCTCGCCGGGTTTCTCTATGTCGAAAACCACCCAGGTGAGAGTGCCTTAACAGCAGTCACTTCGGGGCCGCGAAGCATCCACTGTCCTGTCCTGCATCCGCGAGACGCATCCACGAGACGCATCCAAAACATGGTTTCGCGAGACGCATCCAAAGCGTGGCTAAATACCAAAGCCTCTCTGATTCACCAACATGTCGAACAACATCAAGGCGTTGGAGGCTGAGAGCAAGAGCACACTGAAGTAAGAACACCGATAGTTTGTCGGGGCAAAGGAAGCACTTATACAGTAAGTTATACATTAACTTAATTGACTATACCGTATCTTGAAGATCTTGACGCCGAATTCAGAAAGGTGGCTTGAAGGGCATGATGCACACCGCGGCGAACGCGTTCCGAACGCGTTCCGAACTCGTGGGGTCATACGTCACGCACGCACCGTCCCCGCGCGGCGGTCGAAAGCGCAGGGACGCCAGGTTTTGCTAAGCGGTTCCTGATGGTTTTCACCAATGTGCGTAGCTAACGTTAGACAATTGCTGCTCCATGATCTCTCTCACACACACACAACGCTGGTCATAAGCTTCAATCAAAAAAAACACCCAGCACCAGGGCGAGCGAAGGGTTAGCAACAAATAATCGAAGGTCAAAGGTTTTCTTTTCTTTGGCCGGCCACTTAAGCCGCAGGTCGCCCTGCGGCTTTGGTGTACACATGCCGAAGAGCAAGAGGACTTGGATGTGGAGTTTGATGGAAGTGAGAGGATCTTTGGATGGCGGACGCCTGTGGTCCCAGTGACTCAATCCTGCCCAAAGTGTGTGGGGAAGGACTTGATGAAAGACAGCTTTCTTCACCTCTCATGAGGTGCATGGACGGTTTTTTGGAGGGTGTCAGATGGCAGAACAACCATGAAGACCTACACTCACTGCAACAACCTTCGTAAGAGCTGTTTCTTATGGCCCCTGGAAGATCCCCAAATCGTTGGCTTTCCACTTCCACTTCCCCTCCAACTTCTTCGGTCTGGGGTTTCGGACCCTTGCCACTTCGCGCCACTTCCTTCCACTTCGGTCGGACGAGGGGCGGGACGTCCTGGTCGGACGAACTGAAGAGACACGGCCAACTTCAGTTGCCCCATCCCCACAGCAAACAAAAGGGATGCTCCAATGGTCTACATGATCCTGAAGCCTGCTGCACATCTTTGACCGAGCTTCCATTGCCTTGATCGTTGGATTGGTTGGTTGGTTGGTGTCTGCTGCGCAAAAGCTCATGCGTGATCACTCCCTCTCTCTCTCTCTCGCGTTAAAAATGCGCACGCGATCGCGCGATTGCGAGAGATTGCAGGACTGCGCTGTTTGTTTGCTGCCCAATCGCAAGCCCATGCGACCTGGAGAAAACTTTCGCTACAAGTAGACGAGCGAAGGGCAAAGGGTGACTTTGAACGGGCAATGGCTGGCTTATGGGTTGGTTACACCGATCAGAAAGTTTCGAGGAGGGCCCTAATCAGAAGCCAGGCATGGTACCAGAGACTTTGCATGTCAACCGATTTATACCTTGCTCACTGCGGTGACCTGGTGAATCGTAAATGCAAGCAGAGCGCCCCAGCAGAGCGCCTTGTCTGCCTTGGTTGGTAACGGCACCAACGGTTGACCTACACTTTACAAAGACTGACCTCCAAGACCTCATTTAAGGATGTAAAAGTGACCAAGTTTTACTGGGTATATACACAGATCACTGTCTATCAAAAGCCCTTTCGCAAGGTGATCTATTGCTCCTTTTTTTCAGAAGAGATGTGACAACGGGAAGCTAGGGCCGTTAGACACCATGAGTACAACGTTCTTGTCCGCCGCATATGTCTCGTTGCGATTTCTTCACCCTTTTTGGCAGGTGGGAGCTTGCAGCAGTTTGATGCCAGCTGATTCCCAACAGCTTCCATGTTGAACTTCATACACGAGCCTTGGGAAGTTGTGTTGGGAGGTAGCTGGGAATGGTCTTTGGGTTCTAGATGATTCTATCTACACTCCCTAGAATCATCATGGTTTCGTGGATGGCACCACCCATCGATGGATCTCCAGGGAGTGTTCTCTTTAGGAACCCGCCACCAGCAACGGTCAGCAACCCCCAAATACCCCGCCGACAGGGGCCGCTCTCCGCGTCTCCACCGAGGCGCCTGCCCTGCCGCCACACCTTCTGCTGCGACTGCGTGGAGCCGTGGCTACGGCGAGATCCGGGGCGGGAAGAAGCTGGAGAAGGGGAGAGCTGGGTTCATGGTTTCGGAGCGTTTTGGGCACGGTTGCGGCACCAGCCCCGCGAAGGGGGGGGGCGGCAGGAAGGGGAACGGTGGGACCTTTGGAAAGTTTTCTCAGTGTCCAAATCGGCAGTTCGATGCACATCGAGGATCCACCTGAGCAGACTGAGCAGACCCCTCCGGATCACTGGTCTGCACTGCGGATGAGCAGAGGAACCTCTTTCACATCCAAAACCCCAACGTTTGGGGGGGCAGACCTCCTGGCTCCTGGTTGGAAGGGATTCCTTGCTGTTTTCGGTGACTTCCGCCCTGGTCCCGTGCCCCAAACGGAACGCGGGTTCCGTGCTGGAACTCGGCCGCGATCTGCGCGTGAGCGCGGAAGCTCCGAACGCGCCCGGTAGCTCCTTTTGAGCCGTTTGTTTCCAGCGCCGCACGTTCTAAACTTCCGCGTGGTGATGGCTCCCCACTCGAAGGCGGGAGACAAGCATGGAAAGCATGGAGGGCAGGGGTGAAGCACTAAGATCCCAGGCATGACCCTTGCTTTAATATGGGGTCCAAAATCGAGGTCACTCAGCGTATCGCGACTCGAGGCGAGTCGCCCCACGTCAAGGCTCTTTTTTTTGTGTGTCTGAGTGTCGCCGTACAAGACGTGGTCGGTCACATGTTCTCTCGATGAAGAGAGGTGCAGAAAAACAGGGGTGTGACCTTGACCGAGGTTTCTGCCTGCTATCCGATTCGGAATGCCATTTCACTGGAAGAGTGGGAGGGTTGGGTTGGACTTTTGTGGTTCTCGTTGGATGGTTGGATTTTCGCATTTTTCGCGTTAGAACGTCCATAAGTGAAGCAGATCAATTGATGATAAAAGAGCCCCACTCCAAGACTGTGGGGGGAACAAAGACCTGAGGCCCCAGCTTCGCTAGACCCAAGGCGGCCCCGTCGTGGTGCCTCGTTCAGGCACGTTGCGACCCCTTCTCGCAGCTTGGGCGGCACGTCTGATCGATGTCTCGATGTGTTGGTTTGGAGGGAGGGGAAAGCCTCTTCAGAGGCCTGACATAGAAGTGGCCACCGGGGCCAGACCTACGGGGGCCCCTGCGAAGCCCCCTCAGGAAGCGTGAAAAAGAAGGCCCTCCTGTTTCTCAAGGCATCCTAAATAACGTGGAACATTCATTAGAATGCTGAGAATATAAGTAGTTTTTGAACAATTAGTGGGCCGGCCAATGCATTTCTTGTCCATTCTTATCCAATATTCTGGAAGGGCCTTGTTTGAGGCCTTCCCATCGCTATTAGGTTGGAGGCCGTCGATATTAGAATGTATACGCATACAAAACAAAGACAAGGACCCAAGCAGCTTACTTTTTCCTTGGCAAGTTCGGGCTCCTCAGCTGGGACGCAGCTGCTCCTCGGCTCCTTGAGGAGTTCCTTCCACCCGCCATTTTGGTGCAGTCAGCGACAACACATAGACTGCCTGGAATCATCATGGGAATGGATGATACCACTTGTTTGGTATTCGGATTTCATGCTCATCGAAAAAATGGGGCGCATTCTCCACGTCCCATGAGGATTTCAGGGAGTGTAGCTTTACTCTTCGATTAAGATTTCCAGGCTTTGGCATCGCTTTGTTGTGGAGACTGCCTTTAAGAGTAGCAGGCACAGCACTGGTCAAAATTCAACAAGACATGGTGGGTTTATCTACAACATAGAGACACGTTAGCGTTCTTTGTTTCTTATGCCGTGTGCCTGAAGAGAGTGCTGGAAAGCGCCTCTCAAAATGGAGAACATCTGCATGACCGAAGCCAGGAAAGAAACCACTCTGCCAGTGATTTCTCCTCAGCGAGCTACTGGAGTGCCAGGCAGCACTTGGTGGTCTCCTCCAAAGAGAATTGGGTCAAGGCTGAGATCTTCTCTCGTGAAGCAGGCAGCGGAGGGCGGTGTGTTCTTTTTGTTTGACGCTTCACGGAAACGTTGCGAGCACATGCTCAAACCCCCCAGATCCATCCACATCCATGCACATCCATCCACATCGACCCGCAGCACCAAGACATACCCAGACTCAACTTCACTCACAGCTCCCAAGGGGCAGGTAATTAGGGGGGGCCACCTGTAAGCCCATGATTAGATGGAAGAGGGCAGCGACGAAGCTCCGACCACGACGAAGCTCCAAACCTTTGGACCATTTTTGGACCATTTTTGGACAATTTTTGGACAATTTTTGGACCTGCCAATTGACATCGTCCAATCCAACCCGCTTCTTGAGCGAGCCCGTCCTTGGTGTCCTTTCCGAGTCATCACGTCCTGCCTGTCGTGCAGATGTCTACTTCACGTGGCGACCCCGTTTGTTCAACAAACGATTTGGTTTGTTGCTGTTGGCAATGCTGGAAGTCTTGGCAGAGAAATGGCCATTGGATTTTGATGTCAGACGGCGAGTGGGGAGGTGAAGGCAATGGTGTACCATGAATCTGCCCTGTGAAGCAATGGCAACATCACAATGCTGCGTTGGAAACACCTTTGTCTTCGCATCACGCCACAGCAAATATGTCGGTATAACGCATTTGCCATGTATGTGCAAGCATGACTGCCAAGCATGACTGCCCAGCAGTTCTCTGCTTTGGGACCCACTCACGACTGCATGTCAGCATGTCGGCGCAGCGCGATGGCCTCAGCAGTACATCATGACGACAGCATAGCATGTCAGCATATCTACAAAATTGCTACAGAACTTACTCCAGAACCTCCTCCGGAACTGGACCTGCTTCGCTCGGTTTTTGGGATCGACCCTGCCGAAGCAGCTCCGGCCCCTTTTCGTGGCCCTTCGGTCCCTCCGCGCCACGGGCCCTTCGGGCCCAGACGTTTCCACCGTGGCCGGCCACAGTGGTGCCGTTTTGGGGTCATGTAGGACTCTCGGTTCAGATGGCACACAGGTTCAGATCAAGGGGAGGGTCCGTGGACCTGGTTCGTTGGGCATCCCTCGAGTGACCCCGAGTTCGCAGAGGTGTTCGGTCCGTTTCTCCGAATAGAGCCACTTCGGAAACGTCGCGGCCGCCCCCCATGACTGGGCGACGCAAGCACAGAGAGCCAAGCAGCGAGGCGGGGCGGCCGGGCGACGCCGTGTCTACGGGTACGTCGGGTCCTCCAATGGAATCGGAGAGATTTGGAGAACTCCTCAGGTTCATATTGTATGGTCGTGTTTTGTTGAGAGGTTGGATTCGATTTGTTGTTTTTTTGATTTGTCCACACCTCCAAGATCCACTCAGACCTCAGACCGATCATGGATCTTGGAGGTGGGGGATGCATAGCTCTGCAGGGGAGGATTTGATCTTGAGTCACTTCTTGCTCCAAGCTTTTTGAATTGGTCTTGCATGACTGGCTACCGTTATGGGCGTTGGGAGTTTGAGACCAGGTCCCCAGGATGAGGCCAGGTGAACTCGTGCATGGACTCGAAGCATATTGGCTCCAGGTTTTTAGTCCTTGCTGTTGGTTTCTCCCGCGCCCAGCGAAAGCTCCTCCGTGTTTTGCATGGAGTCCGCGGGATCCGCGGCACCGCAGCAAGTGGAGCATGAAGAGCGGATGGCCCGCCTAGAGAGGCTCTTGATCAATAAGATCTCCAGCTTGAGCTTAACTCGACCCGAGATGCTCGGCAACCCGGGCAGCGAAGGAGGGAACCCGAAGGGTTCTGCTCTGGTCGGGTTTCGTTCACACAGTCCTGGGCTCGGCCGAAGTGGCGTTCCGAAGGCCACCTGGAACCGGATCTGTTTATGAAAGGACAGATGGTCCAGCTGGATCTTGAAAAAGGCAAGCTATCCAAACCCTGCCAAGATGATCAATGACCCATGTACTAACGTTTTGCAGGGGAAAAAGGACATGGTTCATTATGGTTCTTTTTCTGGAGTCCAACCAACGCATACCAAAAACCGACCAGCCCAAAAACCATGACCTTTGGTGGCCTATCCAACCATGCCTTGCTGGAAGCTGGTCTCCCGGGCCGAGACGCTGAGCTGGACGCGTGGGTCGACTCGAACAAGAACACCACCACCTGCCCGATAGGACCCTCCGTTCGGTTCGGTTGTGGCCTGTCGACACACTAGACCACAGGTGGTGGTGAACCGGTTCGGCACACACCGATCTGGTCACCAGGAAAGACCTGGTGTCGGGTCCTGAAGCCACCCCTGGCTCGGTCTAGGGTTGCCCACCGAAAGCGAACCGAGCTACGCATTCATGGGGCGAAAGCGATCCGAGCAGGTTGGTGTATTCACCCTGCGGATCGACCACCTTGGTGTCGCCTCCAGACCACCTGAGGATGCTCCGTTCAGTCGCTGCTGCTCAACCCTTACAGTTCTTCGGACGCGCCCTACGTGGAGATGCCAGTCAAGACTTGCATGGGTCCTTTGGTCCGTACACTTTGCGTTTTGCATTGTTTTCTTCTATTTCTTTTTTCCTGATCGAACAAATCATCGTGCGTCCAGGAGTCCAGTACCACATCGTTCGAGATCTGGTTGGCTTATAGCCCTACAAGTCCAAAGACCCCGTAAAACCTGGTCTTTTACCTCCTTAAGTAGTGTTTTTGTATGACCACGTCCAGTTTTTCATGAGGTCTTTGACCTGTAGGGTAGGTTCAAAACCACCCCCCAAATTCCGATCGTCCGTCCCCTCCAACGACCCCACCCCTAAAAACCATTTTCTGGTGCTGAGCTCGGAGTGGAGGCCCGGTGTTCTTCGAGAAGTCACCGGACCCCCAAAACAGGTGGACAAACCTGGTCTCATTCCTGAAGCCAAGAAAGATCAGGTTCTTGTCGCGTCGGACGAACAGAAAAAGACCACACCTGGTGGCATTTCTCATCTGAAAAACGATGGGACCAGGTACAACTGATGGAGGGTACGGAGAACCGAACTCAAAACAGGTACAACTGGTACCTGTACTTGTACTATCTTGTACTCATTTTCCAAGGTACGAGTTCCAGGTCGAGTCCAGGTAGATGGCTTGATGGTTCCAGGGTCTTGATGCGAGTCTCGTCACCCCCTCGCGGGCCTTCCTTGGCTCCAAACCGACAGGCTCAGTCGGCCAACGCAAGAAGTGGCGCAGTTTTGGAGTCACAGTTGGCATGGCAAGACCTGGAGAAAAATCATGCTGCTGATCTACATGTATTCAGGGCATGTGGCCATGATCAGCAGTTTGATCGTTGCCTTGATCTTCCTTTTCCTCGCCAGTTTTCAGGTGCCCCAAAGTGACCATGTTGGGTGGTTCCCCAACGAAGATCAGCTGAAAATGCCCTACCAGACGTTGGAGTTTTGAGAAGTTGGTATACAGGGACGCTTCCTAGTCCTCAGATGGGACGTGACAAACCGTATACCTAACTAGGGGCTCCTGGCCTTACTACTATATAGTAACAAGCTTCGCTGACGCCGATCGGGGCTGGCATCGTCTTCACCGAACCGAACCGTTCGCGCGAGCCGGACGCGAAGCGAACGGGTCGTGACGAGCCCGGACCATCTTCCTGGCGGCCGGTGCGGCGCGGGCGGTGCGGGCCGCTTTCGTGGCGCCAGGTGCTGCCCAGTTACGACTTGGAGTATTTGCGGCAAGGTGGGAACCGCCATGACGGGCCCTTCATCCCATGGTGCGCCGGAAGTGGCTTGGTGACCTTTCTCTTGGTCTTCTTCCTTTGGCGACCTCAAAAGGAAGTGTTTGTGGATCGCATTTGCATCCATCAGCATGAGACCAGATTGAAGACGGAAGGTATCTTGAACCTTGAAGCGGAAGGTATTCAGAAGACATGTATGATTTTTGTGATTCATTTCGATCTTTGGAAGAGTACGCTGTGGTATTACTATGTATTTCTCATGGTTCCAAGAGAACACCGTCTCCGATCAAAGGAATGTGGGCGGCATCTTGAAGAATTCCAAGTCCATGCTGGTACTCTTTGATTCCAGCTATGCTCAACGCCTTTGGTGTATCTATGAGCGGCTTGATGCGGCTGTTCTAACGGGTCGTCCTGCTTGCTCAAAGGGTCGGTGAACGGATGAAACAACCGACAGTCGGACTGAGTGCTAAGCACCCACAAAACAGAGTTTTTTTCGTTTGAGGGACTGTTTTTTCCGGTTTGGCGCTGGATTTTCAGAAACCACTGGCTCTGGCATTTGGACAGAGAACTTCCTGCATTTGGACACAGAAGTGGTGTTGACTACAATCTAGAATTTAATGACATATTCAATATTGTCTTTCTGTGTCTTTTTTCAGATCTGAGGTTGGCAGCTTTTCTCAAAGCCCACGAAGGTGAGGAACGTGCCCTCATTGTGAGGCCGACGGCTCTTGCTCCTGGCTTGTGCGTCTCGCTTTCAAGAGATTTCCTTTCGGCTTCCATCGGAAGAATCATACTGAGCTTGGGGACTTCACGGGCCAGTTGGTTGGTTGGGAGACATTCTCCAACATGGGTGAGTTGAGTGAGGTATTGAGTTGTCGCTCCTAACTCCAGCTGGAGGAACGTGACTTTCAAAGAAGGCCTTCTTTTGTTTGATATTTATATGACTCACGTACCATGTTTAAAGACGAAACGCGAAACATTGAATCCGCAGCTTCTCGGCTTCAGCTTATGGCTGGAGCGCACGAGTGGGAAAGCTGCTCGTGTGCTCTTTGCTTGGCTGTGCGCCGGTTGCTCGGAGTTCTCTACCATCCTGAGGCTTCAGGCGCTGTCCAAGGCCTTGGGGTGACGAGACTCCGAACCGTCCACGCGGAGCTGCTGGACCTGGCGGAGGGAGGAACAGGGGCTGCCACCTCTGTGACTCCTGGTGGTGGTGAAAGGGAGCTCCCGGGAGAGGGAGTATCCAAGAAAAAAGAGAAGAAGGAGAAGAACGCCAGCAAGGAAACATCCAAAGGCAGCCCCGCACCAGCCCCAAGTCAGCCAAGCAAGCCTGCAATCCCCGTGAAAGGGGAGGAAAAGTCTGAAGAGGTAGGAATTGAAGAGGAGCCCAAAGCAGAACAGGAAGAGGAAGCAGTCAGACCTTCTACAGCCCCAGAAGTCAGTACAGCCCATCCAGGAGAGGGAGACGGGAACGAATCTCCCGCTGCAGAGGAATCTCCTGAGAAAGATCCTGAGGGAGAGAGCAAGGCTGAAGAGGACAAAGCCGCCCGCTCGCGCAGCCGCCGTCGAAGGAGGCGGAGGAGAGAGGCATACGCCAAATCTGCGGGACACGGTTCGGGTGGATCCAAAGGTAAGAGCGTGGAGGGAGTTTGAGGAGCAGTATTACTAGTGATCATGCCTCCACGAAGGAGACCTGCAGCAGCAGCTGGAGATCGAGGAGCGCGAGAATGAGTTCGAACCAGTGCATTGAGGAGGCCTGCGGCCAGAGTAGACGAGGAGTCTCCCGAGAGAGGGAGACGCGACGCAGAGGAAGAGAAGGTTTGGAGAGACCTGCATCGCCTGCCCCTCGACGACCTCTACAAGAAGCGACAGGTGGTGATCGAAGGGAGATATATACTGGGAATCTCCTGTGGTGATAGCTGGGGAGATCAGGGGAATCATCTTCACCGAGGAGACGGGCGATGCTACCTGGCGTGTCTGGGCTACAGGCACGCAGAGTCCTTCCTTGAAGGGGATAGGCGAGATCAGGGTCCACATTTGCCAGAGGCCATGCGAGAGGCTGGTTTGGGCGGTCGACCTTATCCACGGGGAGCGCTTCCACGATCAAGGGTTGGCGATTCAGGATTGGTGGAGGAATTTGGGCCCCGAGGAGCGAGCACCGACCAGGAGGACCCCTTGGCGCGACTGCGATGGGAGGCTCAGAGAGGAGCAGGGGAGGTAGAATACACTCCCGAGGTGATGGACGCTCCCGTAGCAAAGGGAGCTGTCGAAGAAGAGAAGAAGGAGGAGAAGGAAGAAGTGCCTCTCCGGGACATCTTCAAGAACACCGGGCTCGACCCAGATGTGGAGACCAGGCGTGCATTATGAAGAAGGCTCGAAAAATTCGTCGAGGAAAGAAGAAAAAGAGGCGATCCCGCGAGGAGCAGAAGCAGTGCAGAGGGCAATTCAGAGGATTCAAGCACGTCATCCAGCCTGGGAGAGAGGGTGATTGCAAGCTCGGAATTAGTTCGAATC